TGAGGAGGGATCTCCTTTCTCAGAGAGGGGGCACCCTCTGGCACCCGTGTCCAGACTTGTGGAATCTCCACTTATGGTCCCTGGACGGGACGCGGAGGTTCTAGGTGGGCTACCTCCAGCGGTAGTAAACACCATCGCTTCAGCTAGAGCCCCGTCTACCAGACACGCTTACAGGCTGAACTGGAACCTGTTCGTCGGTTGGTGCTCTTCCCACCTGGAAGACCCCCTGAAGATGCCCAATCGCAGTCGTGCTTTCTTTCCTGCAGGATGGGTTGGAGCGAAGGCTGTCTCCCTCCACCCTGAAAGTGTATGTTGAAACTGTCATTGGCTTGTTTAGTTAACACTCGAAGGTGATTGGGCTCTCGGGCGAGATCCCAATTCGTCAGTCACTGACGTAACGTCTCCGTTCTCTCCTTCAGGGAACGAGGGTTACACAAGTAACCTAGACGTTTTTTTCCCTGTTGGTTTTTTAAATTAAAAAAACATACATTTTTCATAATGTTTAGTGAAATTGTTTGAGGTGGGATGGGGATTCGGGAAATTGGGGGGGGTGGAGCCAGATTTTTATATAGGTTTAAAGGGGGGCGCGACCAAAAAAGTTTGAGAACCACTGGTCTAAAGTTAACAGACAGTGTTTAGTGCAGTCCACATGTTTACATGTGTTTATTACAATGACTTTGAATTACCTAAAGTAGTGTGGTAAAGCAACAGATTTGTTTTTATATTTCTGCAATCTACTTTATTTTGTGTGATTTGTTACTGACTTTCATATTAATGTTTACACCAGGCTTATTTGTCAGTGCTTTATGTTGTCATAAGTATTACATGCTTACAAGGTTGGAAGTTCAACAAATCAGTCAATATACTGTGATTGTAGTTGTTAAATAAAAATGTCATTCATATCAATTCATGCATCACCTAATTTCATCGTAACATATAGGCCTGGCCTACAGAAAAGAACATTTATGTTTAATCTATCCAATAGTGTGTTGGTCATACTATACAATGATTTATAGCTTGTCTTTGTTGAATAATACAGAACAAAGAGCTTTAAAAAAAATTATTGCATATTAAATCGCAATCGCAATATTGGAAAAAATAATCACAATTCAATTATTTTCCAAAATTGTTCAGCCCTAATTTACATACACAAATATTATCTGAAAACTCCAGCCCAAGGCATTCAGCACTGTGTTGCTTCTGTGCCCTTTGAGGAGAGCATTTGAAAAAGTAGAAAACTACTAGGAGGGGCCAAGGCTGAGGATTCTCTGAGCGGTCTGGGTAATGAATGGTGACTAAAATAAAATGATAGAGAGAAATCTGGGACATGCGCCGAGAGGTGCTGGAGAAAATAGGGTCTTGGCTCTACGCTGGATTCCACTGGGACAGCAGGACTATCTTTAGAAAAGGGCAGGGAAAAAATGGCCACATTTTCATTTTCATAAAAGGCTTAACTACACTGTTCATGAAAATCTACATTCACAATATTAAAGCATCTAAAACAAACTTGAAAGCCCGGAAACAAGTGAGTTCTACCTGCAGAAAACGGCTGTCAGAAACAGCTGGAATTGGAGGACAGAAAAGCTTTAAATCCCATTATATAGGCCTAGACTATAATAACAAATACTAACCAACTATACTTTCACCAAGGCTGGATTTATCAAAAATACAGTACAAAAATAATAATATCGTGAAAAAATATTACAATTTAAAACACCAGTTTTCCATATTTATGCATTTTAAAATTAAATTCATTTTTATGATGACAAAGCTGAATATATGGTGCTCAAGAATAGGGATGGGTACCGAAACCTGGTATTTAATCGGTCCCGGGGCTAAATTAAATTTATTATTCCTATATATACACATTATCTTGCAAATTCTATCTCACCAGAGTCACCAGCTGTTTTTCAAACATTTGTCTATGATGTATTTTTGCTTTTCGCAATTCAGAAGCGAGATCGCGCCCACGCGGAGGAGCTTCAGCACGCGCAACATGAAAGCCCTGCTTAATTATGATAGAAGAGAGAACTAAACATTCAAACATCTGCTTACACTTTAGGCCTGTGGCTATTTTATTAAGCTAATTTTATTTTTATTTTGGCTTCTAAGGATTATACAAAAGAAGGTATGAGGTAAAGCTATTAAAAACTAGCTGCGTTTCTCGCGCAACTTCTTTCCCTTCACAGCGGCACGCATTCGTTCCTCCCTAAAACCCAAACGTAATGCCAGAATCAGCTCAATTGGTGATTGTTGTAAGATGCCGTCTTTACAGTTGCTAAATTGCGGGACATGTTTGATGATAAAACGTTGAAAGCACAATCCGCACAAGAGACGCTGTTCCTCAGACTGAAATGTGTGCGCGCGGCACGCTCCAAAACGGACAAACAAATTACACTTTGAGCTTCGGGCGCAAGTTCAATCGATCAAATACACACAAAAATGTCAAAATGGCCGGCTTGGAGAGTATTTACTTAAACACAGTTTATGAGAAAATCTGATGTGTGTCAATATATTGTCTTAAAGTGACAGACTGGCGCTTGGGCCATCAAAATGCAAATCTGCTCTTAATCTGAATAATGTTATAGCTTTAATAAGCATTAATCTATCAATACATACACTGAAAACTATGCAGTGTTCATTTACATTTGATTACTTTTAGATTTCTTTTGTAGGCTATTACTTACCTGAACAGTAATGTTAGTAGAACTTCATGGAAAAATGACAAGCACTGTTTATTTAATTTCATTTGTATATTTGTTTTATTGTATGTCTGTTTGTTTTACTTTGTTTCTTTGTTCATGCTCTTACTGTATCTTAGCTTATGTATAAAACACTAAAAATGCCTGCACACTGGTGCATTTACAAATTGATGTTTTATATTCATTTCATTAAATATTTTTTTTACATTTCAGAATATAAAGCAATGTTAATTCAGCTCTTAATTTGTCATATATATATATATATATATATATATATATATAAATAAAACAAAAAGTACCGATAAGAATACCGTTAAAGTACCGAATCGATAAGCAGTATCGGTAAGAGTAGTAATACCATTAAAACCTTAAACGATACCCATCCTTACTCAAGAATCATTATTTTCAGTGTTGAAAACGGAAAAAGTTTGTGTTTTTTTTCCAGGATTCTGATGAATAGAAAGTTCAAAAGAACTGTATTTATTTGAAAAGGAAATCATTTGTAACATTATAAATGCCTTTACGGTCACTTTTGATCATTTTAACACCTCTAACAAAAAAGAAAACTTACTGACCAAAATTTTATGGTAATCTATGATCGTTTCTCACACAACAAAGTACTCAAAGATTGTTCATAAACATCTGGCAGAGCACGTCAATATGGATTTAGTGATTATATGGGACATTACTTGTCCAATCTGTCCTTAGCAAACTCGAAAAATTTTAAGTGAAACTAAGCACAAAATTTAAATATCAAATATCAACACTCCTTTGACCTGTAAACTTTGCGGAATATTTGGATTTCCAGTGTTCATGCTGTTCAGAAAGTATAAAATAAGACAAAGTTCAAGAAAAAGTGGTCAAAACTTACCTGCCAGACACCTACAATGGCATTGGCTATTAAAATGAGCAATATTACAAAAGGCTCCACAAACGCTGTAATGGTCTCCTCTCCCTCTTCAAACCAGGCCAGTACCTATAAAAGAACAAAACAAAAATAAGCACTTTTTAAATCAGGATTTCATTTACATTTTTACTTCATTCATTCCTGTGAGGAAGCTGGCCAAATACCCAGACATTACCAAATGAATAAAAACACCAAGGAGTCTTCCAAGTAAGACACCATATAAACCTTTTAGTGTGTCATTGTATTTTTTTTTGTACCTCAAGCATGTCCCTCTATATCGTGAGACTTGGCAGGACTTGTGGCTTTATGCCTAGTGTCAAAAAACAGACTGATGTCAGCAACTTCACAAGCATGACTATATTTAATGCATGCCACTTCTAGGCAGCATAACCGAGACAAAGCACTTAACAAGCCAGCCATGTGAATTTACAGGCATGCCGACACGGTCCAGACAAGGCCCAGTGAACACTGAAGCACTTTATGTAATCCAATTAAGACAGACCAGCTTTCATCAATCTAGACTCTATGGGCTTAAGCATACCTGGACCACACAAGAGGTCTCACTGATCAGTTAGAGAACGTAACAAAAAAAGTCATACTTGAGTATGAGCAATAATAATAATAATAATAATAATAGTGATGCTTGTCTTAGCAAACAACACTACTATGCCAACAGAAGCAATGTGCAGTCAAAACCAAACCAAAAACCAAGTATTTTAACACCAACACACATTCTAGTGAGGCAAAAAGCTTTGTATTCCCAATGCAATCTCTGAAATATTAATGCATCCTGAAAAATCAGCTTTGCATCACAGGGACAAATGGCAATTTTACATTTTAAAATATATTAAATTAGAAAACAGTTACTTTAAACTGTAATAAAATTACAGCTTTTGCCATATTTTTCAAATGCAGCCTTGGTGAGTGCAAAACTTTGTATTTTGAGTTGTGGCAATATGTTTTGTCCTTTTAGAACAACTAAGTCATACAACAGATGTGATGCTTTTAATACCAACATTACCAACTCACAGCAAAATACATTTTTAAAATAAAATAAAATTATGACTTCTGAACGCAAAGCACAATGGTTTTTCAAAAATTCAGTCCAGTACTTGAGAATCTCAAGTTGAGATGTCACTCAAAATCATTTAACTGACTTCAATTATATAAGGTTCTTGTGAAAACGGCTGTGGTTGTAAATTCCAGGTGCTGTGCTTAGTCCTGATGAGACGTGATGTGCTGATTGAATAACACCCTTGCCTTGTGGGAATAACAAAGGTGAATGTAACAGCAAGTTAATGCATCTCTATGAGAGGTTAGTGGGTATAACACGTTTGGACCTGTTTAGACCTGTGTATAGCCAGATGTAAATGGGGCCTAAGAGAGATCTCAAACAATACACAGGACCGATTCTGGGAGAACAACTTTCCCGTTGCCAGTAATACTTGTGCAATGTCACAACACTGGATGCCAGATGCGAAGATGAGAAACAAGCAGCCAGTAACAAAAGCAGATGGATTTTAGAAATGTCATTCACCCCCCCCCTCTCTTTTAATATAAACAAGCATGCTATAATAACAATAATCTTTAATGTTGATGCAACAAACACTGATTTTTCTGCACACCCACGGGTCCAAACACAGGAAGTGGATGACAGTTGGTTTAACACAGTAACCTAACCTCCGGGCCGGAGTATTTTACACCAAGTTCTGAGTGAGAGCACTCTAAGCCCTCTTGGACTTGCACCATGCTTCCCATTCCAGCGGTGAAACATTATCCAGAGCAGACGAGTGTTAAAAGACTCCAGACAACATACATAAACCACTGAGTGAACCACCGTACATCATCACCTTGTAGCCTAACGACAGCATTTTGTAACATGATCAAAATATCCCGCAGAGCATTTATGAAACACTCAGATACCTTTCAGCATGGTACGTATTCTCATCTCAAGCAGAGATTAACATTCACCACAAAAATTCTTAATGAACCAAATAGAAATAAAATCTGAACAAAACTGCCACTCTGCAGTACAAAACCATAATGTAATGTGTGTGTGTGTGTCTGTGTGTATTACAAAACAGCCACAATTGGCTGATAATGCTTGTTGATTTTGCACATCACCATTATTTATATGCTATATTACACAAAGTTCACTCTTCATATTTGATTGACCAAGGACCACTCGAAGACCAAGTGGAAAACCCAGAGTGGAATTGGAGCCGAGTAATTATAGAACACTATGAGTGGGAAGGGGAATTCTCTGTTGCTCCACTCCACTAACATGCTCTTCCAGATCGTTTTTTAGTTTTCGCGTTGCATGGTGACAGCCAAAGTTTGTTGCTCTGGCTTATTTTCTTCCATTGGCGGAGAGCAAACATAAACTAACAAGCTATTTTTCCCCCCCAGAAAAATTTTATTTAAAGGGGTCATATGATGCGATTTCAAGTTTTCCTTTCTCTTTGGAGTGTTACACGCTCTTGGTGCATAAAGAAGATCTGTAAAGTTGCAAAGACTAAAGTCTCAAATCCAAAGAGATATTCTTTATAAAAGTTAAGAGTCAGCCACACCTACCTAAAACGGCTCGTTCTAACATGCCCCCACATATCTACATCAACGTGTGGATATATTAGCATAATGCCGCCCAAATGTTCACGCAAAGAAAGGCGGCGTGGTTTCAGGAACAGCAGTAGTGTTGATGCAACCATGTCAGGGAGACGCTGTGTTTCAGTGCGAAAGCAAAGGCACTTTATTTGGCCTTCCGGAAGTAGATGCAATTAGGAATCATTGGTTAAGATTTATTTACAACAGAACAGCACAACCCAGATGTTCGAATTTGTGCAATGCATTTTATGGACGACAGTTTTTTTAACCTAGGAGAGTACGAGGCTGGCTGTGCACAAAGGCTATTTCAAATTTTTTTTAAAAGGGTAAATTCCAACTTTGCTATGACAATCTGGCGCTTCTGAATCAGCGACTGCAAGTATGTTTTGTTACTAGTTTAAGTATTTGCTATTGACTGTTCAAATGCGGAGTTTTGCGCAGCGCAGAGTGACGTGTCGCGTGTGTGTGTGAGGGGAACAGGGTCACATCACAGGAGAGTGAACTGCCTGTCAGAAATCATAGCACGTCAGCTGTCTAAACCGCGGCTTGTGTACTGCATCATCACTGTGTCTGTCACGCGACTCTGTTGCCCTTTCGGGCTTGAACGGATGGTAAAACTAACGACATTATTAACTGCTTGAACTGATGGTGAAACTAACAACATTATTAACTATCTTGATATTTACTTTGAAAGCTGAAGCTCGCGATTATGGAAAGGGGCGTTACATTTCCGATGCGTGCTTGTGGTGTTCAGCCTATCACAATGCACTGGGTCAGCTGGCCAATCAGAGCAGACTGTGCTTGTCAAAGGAGGGGGCTTTGCTGAAAACGAAGCGTTTGAGAGAGGCGGGGCATAGAGGACCTACAATAATGTACAGTATTTGAAAAATAATGTGTTTTTTGAACATTAAAACATGTCAACATATTCTGTTACACCAAATACACAAAATAATGATCTTTAAAATAGCATCAATGACCCCTTTAATATTAATAACAAGTTCAGCTTAATTGCTCTTCTGGTTAGATGCTTACTGTAACATACTTGTACTCTGCACAATGGCAAAGTTAAATCCAATCTAACCTACCCTTATTTAACCTAATCCAGATATAACTGGGGAAAATGATGATATGGAAAGCCAAATAGGCCCTGTTTTATTCAAATGAATACTGTATTGAGGTACTTACAAAAGATATGCAAGCTGCCAAGAGAAGAATCCTCACTAAAAGATCCTCAAATTGCTCCACCACCAACTCCCACAGTGATTTTCCTGAAGACAAAGGCATGTGAATACATGATAATAAAGACCATGGTGTGAAATGCATAAAATAAGGCGTTAAAAAAAACATGACAAAAGATTACCCTCTTCCGCAGGCAATTCTGTGGGACACCCAAAGATTCACAGCATAGGGGGATAAAAAAAAAACAAAAAAAACATTAGATCCTGAAAGTTCAGGTACAGTAAAAAAAAAACAAAAAAAAAAACACTGCATCATTTAGGCTTAACAGCAAAGGACAACTGAGATTTTAACTTCACTGCAAAAAAAAAAGTAACAAAACAGGTTGTTTATATGACATCTACAACACTAATTTCTGGCCAAATCTGTAAGAATACTCGCTGGTGGCGAGCAGCAGTTACTTCACGCGCCTTCATTTCGGACACATGCCGGCTGATGAAACGAATATCGCCGCATGTGCGCCTGCTCTTTCACGGGCCTAACAATGCTCTAACACTACCTGAACATTGCGAAATCATCTAAACCGCTCTGCTTTCTATTGCTCTGCCAATCCCAGTTTCCTCTGTTAGCATTAGCCGGGCCACGCTCGCTCGCTCACTCACTCACCGTTCGGTCCCCATTTCTCCCGCTGACGCTTCACTTGCTCCAGGCCGAGCCCAGTGCTCTCGTTCACGGCGAAATGGCTGTAAACTTCCTCCACGGTTTTCGTATGTGCGTTCTCCATCATGGACGGACGGACGGACACGCTGATTATGAACGAACTCGCAACCCCCCACAAACAGGCTTCTTCAAAGCCTTTAGTCCTGACTCCCAAGACCTTCAGACCCTAAACTTGATCCAAAAACAATCGTAGTGACTTCAAATAAACAGTATACGATAAAAGCCAATGGTAACTTTTTTTAGTTCGGGCGTTTAATGAGATGAAAAGTTAAAAACCCGGACTAATTCAACCAAAAATTACACCACGCGCATCGCAAACGCGCTGGTTGTTCTTGATCTTGAAGTTTTTTCGATGCCTGCTGGGAGTCCTAGTGTCCTTATGATGTGCTAGATAACCAAACGAAGCCCTTAAATAGTCTTTCGGATCTATCCTCGGCTCATTCCCGTAAACTGCAGCACAGTGCCGGTGTTCGCAGCTCTAGCACCATCAGCACCAATCGCGTGTCTCCGCTGTGCCGCTCTCCTGATCCGCATGCACAGCTCTCGCTCTCCGCATGTGGAATGCGTTCATTGGCTGCGCGGACTCCGGAAATCCCGTTCCTTCCTTTGACTTTTCTTCGTCACGCAGTGTGGATCAGCTGACCCTCTTGGCCGGGTCAGAGTCAGTACAGTTGAAGAAGGGTGTAGTGTAGCAAACAAATGTCCCTGATATGCATAATGTTATGACGTTAGAGGTGGGGGTTTTGATTAATGCAAGAGACTCGAATCTTTTGAACATGTTCACCAAAAAGATTCCTTCACAGACACATTCACATAGTCACGCCGGTAGGTGGCGACATTGAATGCTGAATTACTGAATCAGGCACATAACCATTTGCTCAAATTTGCAAGTCTAAAAATCTGTTATTAATTCTGTTCTGTTATTTTATTATCATTGCGATACTATTATAGCTTTTATTAATATTTTGAAATAGTTTTCAGTTTTATATCTTCTATTTAAATTTTAGTTAAAGCTTTATTAGCTGTTTTGGTCATTTTTTTTAGTTATTGTTTTTTAATTTTAATTTTTTTATTATTTTAATTTTAGTTTTTTTATTACATCAAGTAAAACTAAATGTGTGTGTGTGTGTGTGTGTGTGTGTGTGTGTGCATGTTTATGTGGTTTATGAGGACACACATTTGTAAAATAACATGGGTATGACATAGGTATTACAACGAGAAGGTGATTTATGAGGACTTTTGCAGTGTCCCCGTAATTCAAAAGGCTTATAAATAATTCAGAATTAGTTTTTTTGAAAATCTAAAAATGCAGAAAGTTTCCTGTGAGGGGTAGGTTTAGGGGTAGGGTTGGTGTAGGGCAATAGAAAATACAGTTTGTACAGTATAAAAACCATTACGCCTATGGAGAGTCCCCATAAACCCTAAAAACAAACCTGTGTGTGTGTGTGTGCAGTTTACAACATTTCTCATATATATGCAATACAAAAAAAAAACATACTTTGCAGGTTTGTCTTGTGTTCTGGTTCAAATGTTGGTGTTTAAACTTAAAAAAAACTGACAAGATTTTTTTCCTCAGGATGGCTAAACCCATTCCTGATTTTAAAACATATATCATTTATCTTAGATAAGTCTGACTGGTTAAACAGATAGTCATGCAGCCAAACAATTAAATATTAGATTGGTGTAAGATACAACAGTTTACAACATTTCTCATATATATGCAATACAAAAAAAAACATACTTTGCAGGTTTGTCTTGTGTTCTGGTTCAAATGTTGGTGTTTAAACTTTCCCTCAGGATGGCTAAACCCATTCCTGATTTTAAAACATATATCATTTATCTTAGATAAGTCTGACTGGTTAAACAGATAGTCATGCAGCCAAACAATTAAATATTAGATTGGTGTAAGATACAATGTTGAAAGCAAGCTTCACTTTCTTCACACAGTGCTTTGAGGTGCACACTGTTTTTCACTATTACCCAGGCATCATTGGGAGAAAACGCTTATACTTGAACATACAAGATAAGGCCACTCACTGCACAGTCTTACTGATGAAAAGGAGGAATGAAACAACATCATAAGAGTTACTTGGACCCAGGGTCTGCAGCCATTTTGCAACACTACAGGCTCAGATAAAAAGATATGAAACAGCTAAATTAGTTTTGCCAAAGCTGGGTTGTCATGGAGATATGACATGGTGCTTTCCATGTCACTTGTTTATAAGTTGATCTAATAGTCAGATGTGATTCTTTCCACTATTATTTGGAAGATAAACTTTGATTATTGATTCAGGTTCTGAAAGTTGTTTAGAACACTTATGGATGAAAACACACACACACACACACACACACACACACAAACACAAAACATTACTGTACACTGACGTCCCTAGTTTCATAAAAGATGATTTGGCTTATGGAAACAGAAATGTCCAAAAAGGCAATCAGCATAATCTTACAGCTCAGATTCACAGCCCATCTGTCGAGATCTCTGACAATTGCAGTAGAAGGTGATTTTCCTTGACTGACACTATCTTGCATATCATGACACTTTAATCTCAATTTAGCCTGTTCTCTACTGGTTTATTCTAGATGAAAATAGCTGAGGGCTGAGGTGATGGTCCAGATAAATTCTCAGATTAGGTCTATGTAGAGTTTCAAACTATATACCATATAATTTATACCATACCATGACCATATAAAATGTATATAATATTAAATTATAAAATATATTATATTATCTGCTTCCCATAGTCAGTGAATTTCTGTAAATATCTGATCATTTTAAAATTGTGATTTCCGGGCCTGAAATGCCATAAAAATGAATGTATTTGTTGGGGGGGGGGGGTGCTCATTTAAGTAACAGTTAAAATAACTGCAAACCTTAAAAGTATATAGTTTACCAAAAAAATTTAAATTTTCTGAACATTTACTCACCTGTAGGCCATCCAAGATTTGTATCTTCATCAGAACAGATTCAGAGAAATTTAGTTTTACATCACTTGGATCCTCTGCAGTGAATGGGTGCCGTCATAATGAGAGTTCTAACAGCTGATAAAAACATTCACAATAATCCATGAGTAATCCACACGACTTCAGTCTATCAGTTAATGTCTTGTGAAGTGAAAAGCTGTGTGTCTATCCATATTATAGATATTATAGGATAGATTTTTTTCACTGAAGGAAGGGTTATGGATTATGGATTTGTATTTTAGCCAGAAGCTACGATTTAAAGTTAAAACATCTGGACTTGTTTCTTACACAACTGTTCACACACAAATGCTGATTGTTGATCTGGAGTCGTGTGGATAATTGTGATGTAATGACGGCACCCATTCACTCCATTGGTGAGCAAGTGATGTAATGCAAAATTTCTTTGAATCTATTCCAATAAAGAAACAAACTCAGTAAATCAGTAGATTTCAGTCAATTTTATTTATTTTTTCTCAGTGAACTATTGCTTCAAAAAGAAAGTATGAATATCAAACTATGAAATACATTAGGCATAAAACTGCTACAATAACATCCCCAGTAAGCTTAAAGCAAAAGATGTTCCCTTTTGTATTGCAATTCCGTTCGCTAAAAAGGTCACCCGAGCTAGTAATAGCCCATTTATCACACACCTCATGACTGACACATTAATTGAAGCAGGCTTGAGAGAGAAAGAACAGCTCGGTCAGCATCTCAATGAAGTGTCAAGCTGTTTGGCCCATCCTGTTTGCAAGATTTAAATGCATTTTGTGGATTTATGTCTGTAATGGCTTCCAATTAGCTACAAGTTTCTTAAAATAATACAGTAGGTTTAAATGTCCTAGAATTCAGAATTGTTAACCATTAACTAGCATTTTTCTATTTGTGTAGTAGTCGTGGTGGTTTAAACAGATGGCTTCTTCTGTTGGATGCAAAAGATGAGTTGGATTGGTTGAATTAGTAATAAGGCATCTAACAGTTCATGAGAAGAGTCATATGTTTCCATAAGATTGCACTGTATTCAGTGTACCATCGCTTCTCTGTGTAATACAGTGGGTTGACAGTTGCATGCTAACATGTCAACAAAAGATAAGGCACAAGACAAATCTCTGGTAACCATGAGACAGACAGATCTGAGAGGTAAATTGTTCCTCAACGTGTGTGCCATCAGAGGAAACATGCCAGGAAGAGTACACAAAGTCCTCCTTTTGTCACCTGAGCGTGGCTGTTTATTCAGAAACCCATCCCCTTGTTTGAGTTTCACGGATGTGGAATGTAGCTGCTAACATCTCTTTCCCATATTCAGTCTATGTTTGGTATCAGTTTCTGGGCTGGGAGCCAAATGTTTGCCTTTTATGGTTCTGTAAAAAAGCAAATGTAAGATTCTGGCATGTCAGGAGGATTGTAAAGCTCTCATGATAAAGGATGGGCCAGGCTTGGTGAATCCACTCAGATTCACTGATTAAGGCTGATCTGAAGACACAGTTAAACGCAGTTTTGACATATAAATATATTTTATCAAATTAACAAGCATATATTATATTTGTATCATTTATTATTAACTAAAATTAGACTAAACCACAAAATGTCTTCTACTAAGTGTCTTTTACCTAGGGATGTTTTGGGACAAAATTCAAGTGAGCAGTTACTGCTATCTAGTGTATTGTATTTGTCATTGCAGGAAACATGTCAAATGATTAGCCTAAGCTATAGCCTACACTCTAATAAAAGTCCGTAAAATAGGTCCTAATGTATTGTGTTAATATGAATGAATTGTCCATATTGATTTTTTACAGGTGTCTACTTGCATTTGGTTGTGTTTAAGGGTTAAAGGAAACGTCGTTATCCGTAACTTAATAGATAATGTCCTGGTAGAAAGGACAGTAATGTTGTAGCTACTGTAATATGCAGTACAACTTCTCCCTTTTTTTAAAAGGATTTGTATTGTACAACTCTCAACACTGTTTTAAAAATTCATTTAAGGTGGTGTAATGCATTTATTAACTTAGAAACTTAGACATTACTTGTCTTTACTCTTTAAATTTACTTTGAAATACACGTTTTCAAAATGGAGAAGGCACAGACAATGTATACCAGTGTTATTTTAGTATTATTTATATACTATAATATAGTATAATATAATATCACAATTCTTAATTAGCTTTTATTTAGGCTATGTATTTTTCGGTTTTTATTATTAAACAAAAATGTCCATTTTAGTTTTAGTAATTTTTTGTGCTTCGTTTTTTATTAGTAGTTTTATATTTCGTTTTTTAGCTTCCCTATTATTTCAGGTTTAATTTGAGTGATTTTAGTAGCCTACTTCGACATTGCTCATTCTAATCATTTTAATACGTTTTTAAGTTTTACATTTTCATCTAATACTTATACTTCAGCTTTATATCAATTACCGAAAGTGATTTTTAAAGGTTTTAGTTAATAAGAACACCGCTACACATTTGTAATTGTGTGCATTTCGACATCTATTCACAATTTAGAAAAAATATATAAATTATATTGTTAAAAATAAAAAAATTGAAATTTGCGATTTAAGGTTTATTTCTGTTCATGAGAAAATATATCACCTATATTTTCAGCAGAATG